GCTCTTTCCATCGTCGCATGTAGCACTAACCACTAGAGTAAAAAGAAAGAGAGAAAAATGATCTCATTGTCTAAGACCTCTAGTTACTTTAAAGCACCATTTTGAAGCCTTCTTTACGATACTGGGGAAATTCACTGATTTTAAAAAAACCCATATAACATGTGCCCCTTTTGATTCATTCCATTACATAATCTAGAAAATTTCAATCGAACATATCATAAGTTTTTTCAAAATCCATCTTAAAAATAATCCCCTCATTTTCCTCATACTCCTCAATAATCTCATTGGCAACGAGCACCATATCCAAAATTTGTCTTCCCCTAATGAAGGCTCCTTGGAAATCACTATGGTCTCTTCCCGTACCTCTTGAAGTCTCCTCGACTAAACTTCAGCCAAAACTTTATATAAACTCGTCACTAATCTAGTAGGACAGAAATCCTTTATCCTAGAACACATCTCTTTCTGGGAATAAGACAAATGATAGTGACATTTGTGCATGAATTCACAATTCCATTCTTGAAAACTTTTGCAAATACATTCATCAAGTCTCCCCGGGGATATATCACCACTTAACTCAAAAATTGCCATTGTGACCCCATCCACCCCAAAGGGCCTGTTAAGCCAATCACACTTTGCACTCTAAAAGATTTAAAAATTCTTATTTTGCACCCTTAAATATTAAATTTCCCACATTACACCCTCAATATATTAAAAGTGTTGTAATGTAGTCCTTCTGTGAGCTTCCGTCGCTCATTTCGTCCAAAAACACCCCATTGATATTGACAGAATAAGCAACGAAAGCTAACGGAAAAGACGACATTGCAACACTTTTAATATATTGATGATGCAATGTGAAAAATTTAACCTTTGAGGGTACAAAGTGGTAATTCTTAAACACATAGGTAGTAGTACTTATGTATTCCCATTTCTTAAGTACTAATGTGTTGATTGTTGATCCCTAATGATCATTATTATGTACTTTTTGCCATTCCTTTTTCTTCACACTCCAAGGAAGAGGAAAGACATCAATTTCAATCATTTAAAACCTCATGGTCAATACGTCCAATGTTTTCCTTTTAATCCCGGTTAAATTTTTCATTATGCATTGTTTCCATAATCTACCAGATTAGACCTTTGTACTTAAAAAACTTCGTAACTTAAACTGTACAAACTGCAACTTCACAAGGCTAGTACAAATGAAAATAGACTCAAAGAACATCATTTCCGTCAAAATTACTTTTTGGAGACCAAATATATGTTCAAAATAACTTGTAAAATTGAACATAAGCTGCGGATTTTCAGGTTTCTATAGGTTATGTTAACTTTAGAAATTCACCAAAATTTGAGTTTTCATCCTTTTTGTATCAAACCAAAGCCAAAAGAACCCTTTTTGCTAATCTACTACTAACCCTAAATGTTTATGAATCATCAACCAATTATAGCTTGGACAAATAATCCCTATAACACCTATTGTCCAAATTTCTTTAAAGTGTTTAAGCTCCATTATTAGCAACTTTGAAGTTCATATTTTGTGAAATACTTGTAGAGTCCTTATAATTAGACCAAGTAGAACATGATTTTCCGTTAAATTCTTATTTTTTGATTTTTATTAACTAATTTATTTCCAATTTATGAAAGAATATATACTTGAGATCAAGAATCATACCTTGTTTGACAGTAATTCCAACTTTAGATCACTTCCTTGAATTTTTCCCTCTCTTTCTTTCCTCTTTTTTTCTTACTCCTCTTCTTTTCTACAAAAATACCTCCTCTACATAAGCTCCTCTTTTCTTTCTCTTTAATTACCATATATATATATATATATATATAAAATAACTAAACATATAATAAATTTATGGTAAAATTATTGGTTTGAGAATAAATATGTCTAAAAGTGGAGTCTTTGGCATTCATTCGGATGAGTATGTTGTCAAAGATTTTGCTTCAGAGGCAGGTTGTGTTGATAATGAGTGGCTTTTGCTTTATTTAGGATTACTATTGGGGGTAGCCTGAGGACATTGTCTTTTTGGGAACCAGTGGTAGAAAGAATGAACAAAAGATTGGATTATTGGAATAGGGCATATTTTGCGGTTGGAGGAAGAATTACTTTGATAAAAGCTTGTTTGACTAGCATCCCTTTATACTATTTGTCTCTGTTTAGAATTTCAGTGGCAGTAGTTAGGAATTTAGAAAAGATGAAGGATTTTCTTTGGTTAGAGATGAGAGATGTTAAGCTGGATCATTTAATGTGTTGGGAGACAGTTTGTAAGCCTATAGACAAAGGTGGATTGGGACTTGAAAATTTGGTGTCTAAAAATATTTCTTTGGTAGGTAAATGGTTATGGAAGTTTCCTTTAGAATCTAACTCTCTTTGGCATAAGGTAATCAGGAGAAAGTATAACCTTCAGAGGAATGGGTGGGATACTAAATTAGCACATACTGTAACCCATATGAGTCCTTGGAAATTCAGTTCACAAGTTTACTCTTCATTTCTTCCTTTAACTCGGTGAAAGTTGGAGAGGGTTCTAAAGTGCTATTTTGGGAAGATATATGGGTTGGGGATTCAACTTTTATTAATATTTTTCCATATCTCTATTGTTTGTCCTCACTACTTGAGTCTTCTATGTCTTCTTTTATTATTGTAGGGATAAATTATCACTCTTGGGACTTCCATTTCTTCAGATATCTTAATGACGGGGTATCAGTTGATTTTACTTCTTTGATTCATCTTCTCTATGATTTCCAACCCAGTTTTCCTTATGATTGAAGAATTTGAATTGTTGAAAATTCTGATGTTTTTTCTTATAGATCATTTTATTCATATCTTGTTAGCTCTCATAATGAAGAGTCATTCTCCTTAGCTAATTTCATTTGGAAAGCTAAGGTCCCCTCGAAAATAAAGACTATTGTTTGGTTTGTTGTCCTAAATCGAGTTAATACTAATGATTTGTTGCAGGTGCGGAGACCTTACAAAGCTTTGAGCCCTGATATTTGTCTTATTTGTTTTAGAAGTGGAGAATCTAATGCTCATCTTTTCATTGTGTATTCATTTGCATGGGGTTTTTGAAATACTTTGTTCCAAGTGGCTGGTGAGGCTTGGGTTTGTCCTCCTACAGTAGAAAAGATGTTGCAAATCAAGTTTTGGGGTTTGGGGAATAAGAAGGAAGCGAAGGTATTATGGAATTATGTGATCATGACAACTCTTTGGTGTATTGGATGGAAAGAAATGACAGAATTTTCAATAATCATCATCTTCCTACAGAATGAGTATGAGAACGAATTGTTTGCATGGCTTCACTTTGGTCCAAAGCTTCCGGGAGTTTTGGAGACATGCCTTTATCCGATCTCTAATGGAATTGGAAGACAGTGTTATCTTAGCTTTCACTGTGAATGTTTTTTGTGTTTTCTTTTTATTTTAGAGGATATCTTGTCCTCCATATTATAATTTGTTTTTTCCTTCTTCCATTCTATAATAAAACTCTTCTTTTATATAAAAAAAAAAATAACTAAACATATATACACATACAGAGGTGCCTTCATCTAGCACTTTCTTTCTCTTTCTTTACGCAAGCACACACCTATTTGAAAAGTCAACAACAATGGTGGCTTGATTAGTTAGGCTAATATTTCATTTAATACCATTAAACTTGATTAACTGAAGTAAATCCATGTTATTATGGTCCTTAAGTAGATTTAAGTAATTATTAATCAAGTGTACTTAAGTGTCCTTAATTAAGTCTTAATCTTTTAGTAGTTGCTGAAGTAAATCCATGTGATTAGGGTCCTTAATTACGTTTAAGTAATTACTACTCAAGTGCACTTAAGTGTCCTTAATCAAGTCTTAATCTTTTAGTAGTTGCCATCTGTTTCTGGTTTGGACACTAGTTTAGCCAAATTGCGCTCTGTAACTTTAGCCAACCTTAACTTCAGATGTCGCATTCTTAAATGTGATATATGTTTTCAATGTGAAATGTCATTCTCCGTGCGCTGATTATCATGTTCAATCCTCTACAACATGATGATCTTTAGTATTTTTAGCCCTTTTTAGTTTGGGATATTAGTTTAACCACATTGAGCTTTTTAACTTTCACCAACCTTAACTTCATACCTGGATGTCGAGGTGTTCCATCCTCTACAACACGGTGATCCTTCGTATTTGTCACGTGTTTTAGATTGGGATTATGTAGTCCCTTTCAAAGTTAAGGGATACCAACAATCAAATGATCATAGCTTGCACATGTATATAAGGATACCATTGGTAAGGGTTATGACAAGTTCCATGGCACTTAGTGTTGTAGCTTGGGCCGGTTGGCTCAGGTTAAAGGCTTGATCATGCCGAGAGCCTTATAGAAATATTTTTACTATCTTCATTGGAATTTTGATATCCTCGTCAAAAGGAGATCAAATTTTAGGGCATGCTTAACCATATAAATTATACTCTGTGACCAAAAAAAAAAAAAAACCATATAAATTATACTCAAATGGGGGAATCATTATTATCCTTCTAAATTATTTTGACAAGGAAAGTAATCTATATGGTGTAAAACACAAACTAGATGAACTCAAAAGTGTTGTCACTTCTTTGTCTAATCTTCTCTCTCTCTCTCTCTCTCTCTATAATCTATATGGTGTAAAACACGTCCTACATGAACTCCGAAGTGTTGTCACTCCTTAGTCTAATCTTCTCTCTCTCTCTCTCTCTTCTGCCAACCCCAGCTCTTGCTGTGGCTTTTCTAAAGCAGTGGCCAACATAAGTACATGCTAAAATATGTGAACTTGTTATAGTATTTTTTAAAATTCTTCCATTCTCTGGGTTAATTCTATTGCTATTTTCTTCACCTAGCAACAGGAAGCATATGGCATTACCCTCTGAACGTTGATGTCTACCATACTATTAGTTTGCCTTGTTACTTTGTTATTTATGCATCTTGTCATTCCAGGGTACTCAATTATATGATCCAAAGGCTGGTGGGTGGCGAGATCTAGGTATGCTTGATGTTATGCAGGTAAGACAAAACCTGCACTTGGAAAGACTTGCATGTGAAATCAAACTAAGTTTTTGATTTGTGAACTTGCTACTTTGTCTGTTTCCTGGGGCAATCCTGTTTTAGATTTTTGGACGTGCTGGAAGACCTCAGTTTGACAAAAGCGGTGAAGGCATTATAATCACAACTCATGACAAATTAGCCTATTATCTACGACTGCTGACGAGTCAACTTCCCATAGAAAGTCAGGTACTGCTTGTAGTTTAAATAAATGTAGGGATCTTTAAATCTCATGTGAGGAATAGAAGTTTGGTACCCTAATGACTGGTTGCTTCTATATGTCACATAGATATTAATGGTGGTAGCTCATGGAAAAAATAATTAATGCCTTACGAGAAGTCTTGCCATTGACTTTCCATCGTCATGTTGATCGTTTTCATGTCATGACGAGTACACATTAGTTTGGAATATGGTTTGTTTAAATGTTATGAACCTTTTTTCCTGTTTGTTTTATGTTACACTTGTAATCCCATGTAGTGGGGGTGGCCCTTTGGCAGCAATAAGGTTGCTCCAGTGTGACGAGTCACCGAAACCTCTTTACATGCGGGGATAAGACTGGGTACATCTAGCCCCCTTATGTCCTGCTGTGACGGGATACTTGTGCATTGGATTGGACTAGCATTTGCAATGCCATATTTCTTGTAATTTATAAAAGAGTCCCTGTTGATAATTATATTTCTTGGGGCATTGTTATTGTTGACTATAGTCCTTTTGCAGTCACGAGTATGAATTCAAACTTTTGACTTTGGTAAAAGTTTGTCAATCTCTTATGTGTATTTTATTTATTCAAACTTATACGAGTCTACATGTATTGAAAGACAAACAGATTCAAGTTGTAGATTTTAGACTTAGAAATTGGACCAAACAGCAACTGACTAGGTATATTGGAAGTTCGCATAGGTGAGATCCCGACACCTATTTGCTGTTCAAAATGGACAGTGGTAGGATATGTTTTTATATTCTTTAAGTGCAGATTAGTTCTTTAGTTATACCCGTACAATTGGGTTGTTTACTGTCTCTTTTGGCCTAGGCAATTCATACTGGCTGATTTGTATTTCATAGGTTGTTTGTTGGGGAAGACTCCTGGCTTGGTCATTTAATATTCATTTACGCTGCTATATTACATATACGTTCCAGCAATAAATTGGCCTTATTCATGGTGGTTGCCTTCAAAATATTTTGCTGAGTTACTTTTGGTTTATTATTTTTTAATTTTGCTTTTTTCTTTGACTGATGCAGTTTATTAGCTCATTGAAAGATAATTTAAATGCTGAGGTGGCATTGGGAACTGTGGCAAATGTCAAGGAAGCTTGTGCTTGGCTTGGTTATACGTATCTTTTTATAAGGATGAAAATGAATCCTTTGGCATATGGCATTGGGTGGGATGAGGTTAATGATGGCTTTTTTGAATGATAGTTTACCAATTTTCTCAAGTGTTATTTTATGCTTTTCTAATATTAAATATTGTGTGTAAACAAGTACTATTTATGCTGGTTTTACCTAAATGGTTTGCATTCTTATCATCACATCTCTTATTAGTTTTCATCTAATGAATGTTTTACATACTTATCATGCGGAGATTGTTGATGTCATATGCTAGATATAGAAACATACCAAATAGCATATGTAAATTTTCCAAACCTGAGAAGTATTATGCATTTTTGGAGGGAAGTAAGTTCTATGTGGCTACTCTTGTGTTGCTTACATCTTTACAACTTTTCCTGACATTAATTGATTTTCAGTTTTAGTGGTAGATGATGGTGAGGGACCTTCATGTAATAGTGGAGAAAATAGTTATGATATATTGGGATTCTATGACATATATCATCTGAGAAAAGGGCAAGGTGGATAATTTTGGCCCTATATAATACTTTGTTAATTGAAAATCACGTGAAGTTCACCTTTTTAAGAATTTCAAACGGGTTTGCCTCTATACAAGCTTTCATCTTGATGTGCTATCTCCATTTGTAGATAAGTGTGTTAGAGCATCCAACTCAAAACCAATTGACAATGAGTGGTGTAGCCCTTCAATTATATAAACTAACCTTGGCCTATGAAGCAGGATACATCTTATTGGCTCACATATCCGTGTGTCGGACACGCGAAATAGTGTTTGAATTTAACGTGGCACTTCTGGACACGTTGGAACAAATTTATGCTATTTCCTATTCGTTTAAAAGACTCACCGTTGCTAGTTATTTTTTTTGGCAAAATCGACAAAGTAAATGCACATCCCAGGAATCACACATCCAAACCTATAAGCAGAGGTTCTATACACAAGAGTTTGTGTACGATATATTTGTTGCACATGGAGCTAACAAACATACAAATAACCATGCATTTTGAGAAATTTAAATAGGTAAGAGGCTTAACTTACTGACAACAAAGGGTACAACTCTTATACTATGTTAGAGTGTTCAACTCAAAACCAATTGGCAATGAGTAGAGTAGCCCGTCAAGTAATAAACCAACATTGGGTGGTTCTAATTATTCGATATAGGGTACAAGCTCTCTTTACAGAAATGTCATTTTATTTGTCCTGTGCATGGTGATCTTAAAAAGTTAAAGAAAAGATCTATATTTCTTTAAATCTTTACTCAGTAAGTCAAAATGGCTGCAGCTGGCTTATAGGCTGCTAGGAAAGCTGTACTAGCTGTCTATTTAATAATTTCCTGCCAGCTCATCTTCAACGGTATGTGATCTAGGTCTGAAAGATGTAGATGATCTGCATAGCTGACAGATTGCTTATGTTGCTAGTAAGGGCAGATTTGGTTGTCTTTTTTATTTGTCACTCCCATTTTCTAGTTATTTTGGTCACTGGCTTATGTGATTTTTGCAACATGCCACTCATCAATTCTCACTTTTGCTATATTTGGTGTGTGCTTTTACGTGATTCTCTTTTGTCTATTTTCCAGGTAATTGCAGATCCTTCTCTGAGTTTGAAACAAAGAGCTCTCGTCACCGACGCTGCTTGTGCACTTGACAAAGCGAAAATGATGCGATTTGATGAGAAAAGTGGCAATTTTTACTGTACTGAGCTCGGTCGCATCGCTAGCCACTTCTATATTCACTATTCTAGTGTTGAAACTTACAATGAAAAGTTGAGACGCCACATGAATGACAGTGAGGTAATTGATTTTTGGTACTTATATGTGATGCTTTTTTTACAGCCAACCCTTCACAAATCAATTTTTACTTAATGATTGTAATTAATGGTTACTGTTCTCAATGAATCTTTGACATAGGGACTTTGCCTATAGTTAACATTTTAAGTTACTGTTCAATTATTTTAAAGGTTATGTTTTTTCCCTTTTCGAACTGTAGACTACAGTCAGTAGCTTTTAGGAACACTGTGTTTGTTCAATAGTTGGAAATAGTTCTTAGAAAGTATATGTCCTCTATTTTAACAATAAGTATGTGACATTTATCTGGTAAGTAGAGCAGACTACTGCAATATTGTGATGAGCAGGGATATCCAATCCAAGCCACTTTGATGAATCAATCCTACTTCAGTGCTTATATGGGGGCCTGAGTTTTAAATGTTTTTGTAGACTGCATAATGTTGTTCTCTTATTAGTCATTTTGAGAGAGAGATATTCTGAATTCAACTTGTGTTGCTTTTCTTTTTTTAGGTAATTGATATGGTAGCTCATTCTTCTGAATTTGAGAATATAGTTGTTCGAGAAGAAGAACAAAGTGAGTTAGAAATGTTGGCCCGCACATGTCCATTGGAAGTTAAGGGTGGTCCTTCAAATAAGCATGGAAAAGTTTCCATTTTGATTCAGGTTATTGCTTATGTTTCACCCAAGCAGAAGGTTCAGCTCATATGCCTTTGAATTAGTAGGACAACTTTATCTGACAAACATTAGTTTGGTATTGCAGTTGTACATATCTCGGGGCTCCATAGAATCCTTTTCCCTAGTTTCTGATGCTGCATATATAAGTGCAAGCTTGGCTCGCATCATGCGGGCTTTATTTGAAATTTGTTTGCGCAGGGGGTGGTGTGAGATGTCTTCTTTCATGTTGGAATATTGTAAAGCTGTAGATCGTCAAATTTGGCCTCATCAACATCCCCTCAGACAATTTGACAAGGATCTTTCACCAGAAGTTTGTCTCATAATAATTTTCTGTTGGTTAAACTGCATATATGTTTTACCTGAACCTTAATTTATTGATTACTATTATTTTGGTTGCTTTTTGTTCAGATTCTGAGAAAGCTAGAAGAACGGGGGGCTGACTTAGATCGCCTACAAGAGATGCAGGATAAAGACATTGGAGCTTTGATTCGTTATGCACCTGGAGGAAGGGTATTTCTCATTCTCAAAATGTTGTTTCAAAATTTTTTGTTATGCCACTTTCACTTGGTATCCATGAATTTGATTTGGCCCTTTTCGAAATGGCAGTTGGTCAAGCAATATGTAGGATATTTCCCATCAGTGCAGTTGTCTGCCTCAGTTAGTCCAATCACCAGAACTGTTTTGAAGGTAATTCCATTCTGAAGAAGTCCTTTCCTCCGCCAGTGGGTATGAAGTGTTGATAATTTTGTGTTTGACCACAAAATTAAATATTGATATACAACTCTATCTCACAGGTGGATTTGCTCATAACACCAGACTTTGTGTGGAAAGATCGCTTCCATGGTGCTGCAGAACGCTGGTGGATTCTGGTTGAGGTACTTCCTTGCTGTCTATGTCATAAGCCCTTGCCTGGTCCTGCTTTCAGTAGACAATAAGTTTCCTTGATGAATAGGTGGTTCTATTTTCGAGATATTAGGAAAGTTCTATGTTATTGTGAGAAAATAAAAGGAATTTGTTCTGGTAATTTTTTTTGGGTAGGAAAATTAATTTTATGAAAAATATAAAGGATATAGTATACAATGGACTTGATGGATAAGTCATCCATCCATAATGCAATCCATCAAAAGCACTACATGAGAATTGAAAAACAGAAAATCGTATGATTAATCAGTCCCAAGCCAATGTACAACTTGCCAAAATTCCAAAGGGAGGTATGCTTGCAAACCTCTTCAAAACTGGTGCCCAAAAAGTTGCTAAAAAGTAGATTTGGTTTGATAGCCCTTCAACCACCTCATACTTACTGTCAAACATCCTTGCATTTCTCTCTTACCAAATCATCCAAATATTGGCAAAGATTGTACATTCCCAAAGAGTAACTCCTTTTCTTTTCTTGCCAAAGCCGTTATAATCCACACAAAACATGAAATATATAATTGTCTATCTAATTAATTTATAATCCCCCCCTTTTCTTTTTTTGCTAGTTGACTTTTGTTCTTACAATACCCTACAAATGTCTAATGGACATACTTTAAACAACATTTATAGTTTTGTGATTAACCTAAGGTGTTTATTGTTATTTGATGGGTCTTCAACTCAGTTAGGGTGTTACTATCTCATAATCACAAGCATACTCATGAGCTTTGGAATTCATTTATTTCTTGTAAGCATAGTTTGTCTTGAGTTAGTTGCCTATTGTTATCCCTTTAGCTCGTTGGCATGGCTATGGCATGCGGGTGCCTCGCCCAAGGGTGTCCCATGCCTTGGCCAAAGTGGGGGTGCGCTTGCCTAAGCATCCTTTTTGTGCAAAAATGGCTTTCTTCAGGACTTGGTGATTTACTTGGTTTGGTATCAATGGTGTTCGACAAAAGTTCCACGTGGTATGCATTAGCTATGCCCTAGGCTCTCGTTATTATGACTCCTTTGTCAAATGATGTCTGTTGTTGCCACTAGGAAATTGTCTCTAAATGCAATTATGGGGGGCTTTGTGAAGGGATGCCAGACCGGCAACCCTAGCAACCCTTTTGCCCGTTAGTCTTGGCACGCCAAAGCATGGCATGACCCAAAGAATGCTTGCCATGGGTGTGCGCAAGGGGTGCAAATTATGAGACCCGAAAAATGTGGTGCCAATGATTGGTGGGATCCATCGTTGGTGGAAGCACCATGCATGGCAATGTTGGGCACAAGCAAGCAAGCAACCAAGGCTTAGCCGGTGGGCTCCAATTGTGATGTATTGCAAGTTTGGAAGATCAAGTCATGGGCTGGGCATGACTTGGCGTGCAGGCAAGGCGGGATAACAAGGACATGGTTTAATGTTGCGGTATCGGCCATTGATATGGAGAGCTAACACATTAGCCGTGACGCGGTATCGGTCGATACGCTCAAAACGTTATATAGAAGGCTCAAAAAAATTTGAAAAAATTATGAAAATTGAAATAAATATTGTTTTTTTAAAATAAAAAATCGTTGTTCATGCATCATATCCCCAAAATGTATTATATAACATTTTAATTAGTATAAAAAAAATAATATAGGCGCTATCGGATACATTTGTCATTTTCCATGTTCAATATAAGCATTTAAGACCATACTGAGCCAAAATAATTGTCTATTTCTTGGATATTTAATTATAAATTATATTCAATTTGTCCATTATGTACTTTTAATTATTAAACCTTCCATTACACTTACAAAAATACTTTATAAAGTTTTTTTAATAGTTAACTTATAATTATATTATGTGGTAAAAAATAAAAAAAATATAATAAGAAGAATGGGAATTGAAAACGAACACGGCGGGGTTACAATTTGGGTCTCAGTTTGAACATCACTACCATAGTAAGAGAGAGAGAGAGAGAAATAGAGAGAAGGGGGGGATTTGGGCCCATAAAAAAAAAGAGAGAACCTGAAAAAAAAAAAGCCAACTTAAATTTTTGTTTCTGAAGGTAAAAGAGGGTCCTTTGAAATAGGAGTGAAAGGGTATCGAGGGGGATGGTTCGTAGACTTTATAAAAAAAATCAGTTTGTGGTAGGAAATGATTTTGGGGTATCTTGATGGCATGATTTGAGGTGCAAAGGCAATCTGTGGAAAAAAGAAAGCAAAGCTGTTATTAAGTTGCTTTAAGAAGTATGCTTTCTTGGCAAGGTCTAATCTTTCAAGTACCTATCAAAGAAGGGGCCTAGTCTTTGAAGTGTGAGGAGGTGCTCTAGTGTCCCTTTCTCATGTGGACGCTTAATGATTGCAACATGGATCATCATTTTAATTTCTGAGAGAAATTGCAGTGATATTTCCTGTTGGGACGGTCTCAGTTCTTTAGTATGTAATAAAATGGCTGATTCTGGTGGGAGCAGGATACATTTTATCAGATTGGTAAAAGTCGGAGGCTTCTTAACTCTGTGTTGCTTGTGTGAAAGGGAAGGGAAGAGAAAGCTTTGGTTGTTTTTTGTGGTCAGCTGAGAGAAATGTGGTGTTTAATTACCTTGTTTTTTAAATTAGCTGGTCTTCCGTCTGATGTCCTATGTCTTGTGCCGTGGTGTCAGATACAAGTGTTGAATGGTCATGAGATTGTGATTTGAAGGGCAACTCATCTTTGCTTGAGTTGAATCCATGTAGGATTATTAATTTCCAATTTTTTTATTTCGCAAGTAAAGTTCACTTGCATGCCAGAAATTTGAGAATATACACATGTGAGCACATGTAAGGGGAATTGATGAAAAAAGACCGAGTATTTAAGCTATATGTTTTGAAACCATTACCATCAATATCGAAATGGATTTTCAATCCAAAAAAGCCACAATTCTCTTCAACCTTTCAAGAATTTGAATTTATTTATTAACCAATATGAGTTGACTCAAATTCCCATCACCAATAAAATATCATTTAATTTTTCTTGTCGACTTTAGCAGAAATTCATATTTCATAAATCTTAGGCTAGCGGTGTTAATTGTCTATCAGCTTAAGGAGCAATTTGTCTCATTGCTGAAGTTTGAGTATGGTTCTTAGTTCTGCATACATTGAATGTTCTCTACTTTTATTGTTTCACATATAAAATATTAAAATATGATTTTGTCTAGTGTGTGGTACAGCTCAGCAGATTTATTATTTTACTTTTGTGTTTATCTGATTCTTGTCGCCCGTCTCAGCTAAATCAACTCACTTTTTCTCCTGCCCTATGTAGTTTTTTCTTGGATTGGCTGAAATCTCAACCTGCTTTTGAGGTTATATCATATGTGGTCTCCAACATATTCTTTGTACTTACAGGTTAACTTGCCTTCCTCACTGGAAGAGGAAAGGTATTCCTTCCTAAATAAAAAAAACAACAGATTTGTAGGGCTGTAATCCTTTTTGTTTAGTTCCTGTGAATCCCTTTCAATTTGTCATTTATTGTGATTCAGACAATGATTCTCTGATTTAATAATTTTTTGTTAAGAAATAAGTTTTTTTCTCATGAAATACCTGATTATGTAGTACCCATCATTTGATCTTTTATCATATCTTAATTGAAGACTTTATGAATTAATTTATTTAGGATTCAGAGAACGACCACATATACCACTCAGAGCTTTTCACATTGACGAAACGGATGACCAGAGGAGAACCACAGAAGCTTTCCTTTACTTTGCCAATTTTCGAACCACATCCTCCTCAGTACTACATTCGTGCTGTTTCTGATTTTTGGTTGCATGCGGAGGCTTTATACACTGTATCTTTCCAGAATCTGGCACTTCCAGAGGTTCCTTCTAATATATTATCCATTTAATTTTAACACAGCACTTTCGTTTGTTTTTTTCCGTAAAGCATTTTGATCTTGTGAAAGTCCTCATGTAGTTACTATTTGCTCAGGCTCATACAACCCATACTGAACTTCTAGATTTAAAACCTCTCCCTGTGACTGCGCTTGGCAACAAAACTTATGAAGCCTTGTACAAATTTTCGCACTTCAATCCTATTCAAACACAGGTTCTTATTCAGTGACCTTAGCCTAAGTTTTCGCTAAACTCAGTTTCTGACTCAATGCTCTAATGGATTTTGACAGACTTTTCACGTGCTGTATCACACTGACAACAATGTTCTGTTGGGAGCTCCAACTGGCAGTGGAAAAACTATATCTGCTGAGCTCGCTATGCTTCATCTATTCAACACTCAGCCTGATATGAAGGTATGGACTTAATTTTTTCCTTGCAATCTTGACCTTTCATATTTCCCTACGGACATGTCATGGACATCTGAAAGCTTGATCAAGTGACCCATATTCTTGGACTGAGATCTCACTTTGATCAATTATTACCGTATTCCTTTATGTGACGGCATGATTTCATTAGCAGTTTTAGATTTATCATTCAAAATTGTAAACTGTCCTCAATACCTAACTAGGCATGGGTTAATGCCTAAGATGGTCAACTAGAGGTGGAAGCCTCGTGCACTAGGCTGCCTTTTGTTCATTTAGATTTACCAGTGGCATGCTTGATTGTTGCTTCAATGCAGGTTATTTACATAGCACCTTTAAAGGCTATTGTTCGTGAAAGGATGAATGATTGGAGAAAGCGACTTGTGTCTCAACTTGGAAAAGAAATGGTGCTAACAATTTCTACAAATTCTACTACTGAAATTTTACAATACTACAATTTTAAAGCTCAAACTGTTAGTATTAACAAGATGTTTGGAACAGGTTGAAATGACAGGGGATTATACACCAGACTTGATGGCTCTCTTGTCAGCAGATATCATAATTTCTACTCCTGAAAAGTGGGACGGTATCAGTCGTAACTGGCATAGTCGTAGCTATGTCACTAAGGTGCATTATTTTAGGTGTTTATTGGCTTTTGTTTATATGAAAACTTATGTTCCTTGATTGATTATTGATTACAATTCTTTGATGTTTGAAACTTCTATGTGCAGGTGGGACTTATAATCTTGGACGAGATTCATTTACTTGGAGCAGATCGTGGACCTATACTTGAGGTATACTGTATATAGTTGTAGTTGGTACGGTATATTTATTTACATATTTTGTGCACAACTGATACGGATTCTTTGAATTTTACTTTTATCAACCTTATGAACGATAAATTGGGTAACAATGAAATTTTATTTTCACATACATGCTATCACACCCCGGTCTTCGTAATCCGAAATCTGAGGGGTGAGGTGTATACAAATCCCGAATTAACAGCCCAAATTAATATTCATTATCAAGCGAATAAAAATTTCCACTGTTTAAGGTGTTTCTAATGCCAAACATAATACAAGTCTGCCCAGAATTTTCCCCGGGCCATATCCGTTAGACTTGTTTGATTGCTGGCCTGTACTAGATTTTTCATTTGCTTTGAAACAGCTCTAAAAAGATACAAAACAATGTAGGATGAGCATAATAAACTCAGTAGGTAAATAATGTTTGAATTGTCATTATCCGAAATTTCATAATTGATACATAAAAAAATGGTTCTTTGTTGAGCATTTAAAATACTGTGCCACACCAGAGAATTAGTAAGCAATACTTAGGCATTGAATGTCAAATTTCAATCACATTTAACATTTTAGGGACTTTCACCTCAGGAAGATATGCTCCCTGTGTATCAGCTGGTACCCAAGCCCGAATAATACTGGGGCACTATGCAGCTTCAAAATTGATGCACCAAACATCAGAATTTTCGTATTCTAACACTAGACTTGCATTCTTGGACCCCAAAAACATAGGACTAGGTTTTCCTTTCGAATTAAAAACCTGTTTTTCAAAACCCGAAATTCCATGCTCTTGACTAAATTTTTGTTTTTAATTTCTTTTCAAATTCTTGACGTCTACTGAAATTAAATCTTATAGGGAAGTTAGATATCAATAACAGAAGTTGTTTAAAGCTTTAAATTAGTAAAAAACATGTACAGTCTTAGTACCCACTATTTTCGACATATTAGGGTTTTAAAACCTGGATTTCTTCTTGGCCAAAATACACCTTCTTAGATCAATTAAAACCTAGAAAGCTACTCTAAATAGGTATAGAAATCTCTACAAAGCTTCAAAGATTTGAGTTTGGGTTGAAATTTGAGCAGATCTTCCCCTCTCTCCTTTGTTTCCTTCTCTTCCTCTCTTCTTTCTCTCCCTACAAATTCCCCTTATTTCAAATGACATTAGCACTTTTTCTTCTCAAATGAGGCTCCATTTTATAGCCAAAATTGACCAGCTTGTGATGGTTTTCTGCATTATTGGAGGAATTACACCACCTACTTCCATTTAGGGTCCTAATTGGACCTTATTTTTCCCCAATCCGGATTTTTTTTATCATTATGAGAATATTTAATATATTTTAATATTGTATCTGTTTATGTTTATTTATATATATATATATATATATATATATAATTTTCCAATTGTAGTGGATGTCTCGTTGGGTGTTACAAATCTACCCTTCTAAAAAAAAGGTTTTGTCCTCAATACATGAATTGGATTTATTTCACTAGTCAAAATGTTAAACAAAGTAGTTTAGATAATTGTATTCATTACAAACGACTTATTCACGCTACATTTTCATTTTTTGGGTATCATAGTGCACACTCTTCCCTTTCTCAAATTGATTTGGTCTTTGTTCACATGAGGTTGTATTGGTTGTGAAGCCGACTTTGGTGGTACTCTCAAACTCTCCCCTTCTTGATAAGAACCTTTTCCGGATTGTCTTACTTGTGGGCACCTTGTCCTTGCATGCCCAACCTTTCTACAATGATATCATGTTTGCCAATCCGAACCATTCTTGCCATCATTCGTTCCTACCCTAGAATTATTGAGTTTTGGTCATTCTTTCTGTTATTATCCATCACTGGCCTCGGATATGGGTGACCTCTCTGTAGTCCATTAAATCCACTGACCTGGTTTATCAAGTTTTATCACGTTGTTGGTGTTGTTGTTGCCTTTCCTGTTTCCTAGTATGCTCCTAGTCTTTTTCCACAATCAAAGTTACTTCCACCTTTTCCCCATAATTCTTGGTTCTAATGAGAAAGATCTTTAAATGTTGGTGTAGTCCTTGCTCGAACCATTTGGCCTTCTTTGCTTCGATTCGATTGGTAGAGTACTTTGTTGCAATGTTAGAACTTTGAGCACCATATTATCACGAGTACTCTTGGTGAAGTACTTCGTGTTGAAGACTTCTTTGAAAGCTTCCCAGGTCATTTCCTCGATGTTCCTTTTTCCTCTTCACTGATTCCTACCAGTAGTTTGTCTCTCACTCAAATAGATAAGTGGCAAATCCAACGTGTAGATTCGCTTGAATCTTCATTTCATCCATCACTTTCTTAACCTGATGGAGTCTTTTTTGGTCAGTACTGCCTTGGAAAGTGCCCCCCTCGGGGGGGGGGGGGGTTTGTATTGGTGGTCTCACATTCTCTCTTACTTGCTGATTTGGTGAGGGGGATCTTTCCCAATTTATCTATTATTGAGGATCTCCCTCCAGATCCTCAATAATAGATAAATTGGGAAAGATCCCCCTCACCAAATCAGCAAGTAAGAGAGAGCGATTTATTCAATAGGATTTCTATGGTTTTTATGATTTCTGGAAGGCTCATGTAATTGAATTTGTATTAAAGTTGTCAGAGTCTTTGTACATTGGTATACTTGGTGTAAACCCATTTGTTCAAGTCTCTCCTGCTATTCATGATTGGTTTAAAATTGTGGATTTCTTGGAGACCTTCCTCGTCCTTTCTTGGTCTTTGTAAGTCTAAAAAGACAACATACACCATTTAGTCCCAAACCAAGACAGTAGTATACATCACAACAATCAAAATTTATTTATTTCACATTGTTGTCAACATTTTACACAAGTCTCACACATGCATTGATTACTATCCTAGATATTACTATTTTACAGATCGAAACTCTATCTAGGATATGGCATTAAGAAAAAGGTCAGGGTCATTTTGGTTCCCTCCCTAGGAGTCCCCGCAACCGAATTGTTGGTAGAGTCCGACTCTGAGTCTATAACAATGGGTGCATTTAGGTCTATTTTGGGTAGCCCATTAGGTGCATTGGGGTTCATCTTAGGCATGTCTAGTTGCCCATTTGGAATCTTGGGGTAAACCCTTGTCGGGTGCTGGTAGAGTTCATATTTTATATGTGTTGAAGCAGTGTTATTTAAGGCGTAAAACGAATCAAAGTGAACCGGTCTCCTGAGGGCCTAGGCGAGAAGCGAGAAGCGAGACGAGCGCTTCATTGAAGCAAAGCGAACAATATAAAAAATAAGCAAATATTTTAGTTCATACTTTTATTACACCTAAATATTCAAATTTTAACTTTACAAATATAAAATATTTAAATGCAATCAAAATAATAAACATCAACATATTTTAAATAGACAAAATATTAAATATTGAACATTATTGTATTCTAAAAATAATCAATTGACATAATCACGTCATCTAAATGTAAAGTTAGCAAATGTGGGTTCGATTTTTACCATGATTGATTAATATCACCACTAAACAAGCACTCACAAATTGATTAATCAATTTGATTAACTAAGCAAATTGATTAACAAGAGCATTCACATCAAAATAAAGCATTCAATATTATCTAATCATAATAAGATTAATTGTCATATGATATTGTTACACGAATCAATCAATTTATTTTATATATATACACATATAATATCATCTCTGCTAGGGTTTGGTTAATGTTAAAGAAGAAAAGGGGGGAGGAGGAGGAGAAAATAAAAAAATTGCAGTCAGGCGTTCGCTTTTCTCGCCAGGCTCGCTTCTTCACTTTGTGGTTTAAGTTCGTTTTTTCCTCGCTTTAGTTAACCTCGCTTCGCCTTGAATGTTCAAGGCGACCAAGGCTCGTTTCGCTTCACTTCTCGCCTAGGCGCTCGCTTTTCACAACACTGTGTTGAAGGGTAGTATTGTAATTCACATGATATAAGTTTAGTATAAATAAGTGTCGCAAAACGTAGCCTATGCATAGATTATTCTCATCTTCTCTCATTCTCTTCCCCTCTCTCTTAATCTTCTTCACTTTTTCTCTCTTTTTCCTAGCATATTATCGTAGCCTTTACTTCATAACTTGGTACCAGAGCATTCATTCTAGGTTTTTTTTTTCTCATCGATGAAAAGTGTCATGTGAACAGTAATCGATGAATGGTGTCGCGTGAAAAGTAACTACGTGAACAATATCGATGAACAGCAATTTCGTAAGTCATAACTAGTGGCTCGATGAACAATGATTCACAATGAACAGTAGGTGCGTGTCCTTATTTGGTTGTTCTATGATTTGTTGTTATAGATGGTTGATTTAGTTGTGATTCTTCATCGGAATTACAGCTAATAATCTCAGCCATTTGTTGTTTGTTTTGTATGTGATTTTCGTGATTTTTTTTGTGTCAGATCACTGTTCCGTTGGTAATTTCTTTTGGGGACATTTCAATGCAAACTAGTTAGGTGCTATTAGAATCTAGGAAGTGAGATTTGTGATTTCTAGAGGTTTGTTGTTGGTTTCAACGTGAATTCTATGAGTTTAGTCTTTGACTACTGTTTTGGCCTTTAACAGTGATCAGGGTTGTTCTAGGTTGCTTCAATGTGTTGTTGGTTATGGTTGATGATTTGTGGTTGGTTCGCTTCAGTTTAGGAAGCATGGATACGAGTGCAAGATACGATACAGATACATCGATATAGGAAAAGCCTAAAAAATAGGATACGAGTTTGGTCAGGATATGTCTATAAATATGTATATTTTACATTTGTACTATTATGTAATTACTTGATAGCTTTAATTTTTATTGATTCTTTAGCAATAATAAATAGCATTAACATTTTTTTTTATTTCAAAAAAGTTACCTATTGTCTAACTATGATACTTCTACAAGTGTACATGATGAATTAAAGGAATAAGAATCAAAATTTAACTAGATAGTTTATTTAGAAATATTAGTTGCT